GAGAGAGAGAGAAGAGAGAGAGAGAGAGAGAGAGAGAGAGAGAGAGAGAGAGAGAGAGAGAGAGGGAGAGAGAGAGAGAAAAAACGAAAAATTAATGCCCTGGCAAACTAGCGTCATTATCGGCGGAGTTAAGAAACTCTGGTGATGCATAGGTAGTTCACTAGCGACATCATCCGCGATGTTAAGAAACTTTAGTTTGTCATGTATAGATGACACTTTGGCGACATGATGTATAGATGGCAGGTTTTGACAGCAAGCCGTTTAACGTGGAACATGGATGTGTTGTGACAGGAAATATTTTTCATGCCGAATTGTTGTGATTAGCAATAACCACATTAAGCGCTTAACGAATTGGTACAATTGCCTACAAACAACCTATTTTCAACAACTGTGGATGAGGTGTGCACTTGAGGCCAGGAGAACGCGTGCCACAGAAATCCTTTACAAAGATCAGGGATTGCGACTTACCCGTCTAGGTGCAGCTTGCTATACTTGTCCACTGCTGGTCAACCGTTGCGATTGAAGATTGCACCAAACTGGCTGTTCAACATTCTCAAATAGGGTGTTTTTTAAAGCTCTTTGGAAAGTTAATTGTATTCTCGCCAGGAGATAGCGGGAATATAACAAGGTTATCGGGGTAGCGGAGTACAAAAAGTGCTTTCAAAGGAGTTGCAAAGGAATCAAGGATGCAAACTGAATGCCTGTGGTACTCCTTGAATGAGCTCCAGTAGCATTTCACCCGAAAAAGCCACATTCATAGAAGTTTATCCGGACGTGGTCAGAGCATGACGGACGTAATTTTGTGTTTCAGTGATCATCTGTTCGGGCCGGTTTTGATTGCCAACTTTATTTTTCAGTTAAGCTTATCACGGATGCACCCTTCCACTTTCAAATATCGTGCTCGATCTATAGAGAGCACGTCCCCAACTTGAAACAAAGAGTGTAGGTACCTTTAAAGGAGAACCCGTTTACGTTTCTTCTCACATCATACCGGCACCACCCTCACATGCCGGAAAATGACGAGTATGTATCCGCCGCACGAGGATCGGAAGTGGCTAATAACTCATCTACCGTTTCTTTCCGCCCTATCACGACACAATCACTCATGCATTCCCGCCCCCGCCCGGGCGCGCTGATGCCCGCTTAACGCGTCTCGTCGGCCTTCTCTGCCAGGGCGCGTCTCCTTGTGATGGGGACCGATCGGCGCGGGCGATGAGCCGGCGCCGGGCCCGACGGAGGTGCCGGCTACAGACGCAGATGAGCCGGCGCGAGGCCCGACAGAGGTGCAGTCTACAGACGCAGCTGAGCCGGCGCCAGGCCCTACGAGGTGCAGTCTACAGACGCAGCTGGGCCGGCGCCGGGCCCTACGAGGTGCAGTCTACAGACGCAGCTGAGCCGGGCGCCAGGGCTGACGGAGGTGCCGGCTACAGACGCAGATGAGCCGGCGCGGGGCTTGACAGAGGTGCACTATACAGACACAGCTGAGCCGGCGCCGGGCCCAACTGAGGTGCCGGCTACAGACGCCGCTTAGCCGGCGCCGGGCCCTACGAGGTGCAGTCTACACGGAGGTGCAGTCTACAGACGCTGCTGAGCCGGCGCCATGGCTGACGGAGGTACAGTCTACAGACGCAGCTGAGCCGGCTCCGAGCCCGACGAGGTGCCGGCTACAGACGCTGCTGCTGATGTCTGCGAAAAACTCACGGCAGCGCTCGGAGTGCTTAACTCTGAAAAAGTTGTCGCTCTCTACTCGCTCCATCCCTCCCCGAAACTTGACCTTACTTAAATCTCTCGACCTTGACCCTGAACAAATGACCAGGCCTGTAAAGCTTCGATTCACCAAGCTTTTATTCTCACTCTGCCGTTTTCGGTCTCTGGATGAAGCCTTCTACATCAGCAGAATATCAGTTGCTAGCGTGTGTGTTAGTCCATAGATCGTCGGACAGATGTGTTCAGCCTCCCGACACCGCACACGACTTCCTCCACTGTCGACTTTGTTCACTTGCCGAACCAGTGTGAAATCTGCTTCCTAGTTTCATCCTTAGATAAAACATAGCCCCAAACCGTTTGGTTGCAATGTAATGGCCTTCGTATATAATGGCCATACAAGCGTAATGGCCTTCGCCATTACGCTCGATTTTGAACGCACATTGTTTCCTTATTGTTAACTTGCTACGTAATCAGTTCGGTTTCGTTTACTTGTCGTAATGGAACGCCCATTCCTATTATCGCTGTAATCAATGGTTTTTGTTTACTTTCTGCCCTAGTATACGTCTACGTTTGCCTCTGGGCCTGCACTGCACGGCAGGAAGTGTGACGATTCAGACATGAAGCCGCGCCGGCGTAATGCAAGTACCTGTAGAGCATAACGCGTGCCACTCAGCCACGTCTGCAATAAAACCTTACCTAACTTAGATTCATGGAGTAAACTACGAGAAGAAGAAGAACCTATAACCTTACGCGTTTTTTAATTGCGTAGGACAAGCAGACGTGACGAAAATAAGGTAACCTCACTTCATCTCACGATTCTTAAGTCATTGATATGTGCGGCGAGTTAGACGGTCAAGTTGTTTCAGTTCATGACTCCATGTGACGGAAATGAAGAGCGCGTAGATTCACGCCTTCGTTTTAGGAAACGTCTAGGCCCTGGGCAAGGGGCAAACCTTTCCACAGACCTCCGACGGTTCCTGGCCACAGCCGCTGGTCTGACGTGGTCCGTGTGTCGAGGTGTGCCCAGGGCTGGCGAAGGCTGGCTCCGCGAGCGCCACCAGCCGCACCAGAGCTCCGGAGCTCGCGGCGCGCCGCGCTGTACCTCTCTGGCCGCCGATCAGACCCGAGCTGTGCCTCCGGTCAGCGCGTGCTGCTGTGCAGATGGCGCGCGACCATAGGCCCGTACGCCTCTCTGCGCCACCTGCTGCGTCGCTCTCTCGTTATACCGGCGCGGCGTGGAGATGAGTTGTATGCAGCCCGTCAGGACTGGCGCACTTGGTCACATGCGCAGCACATGCTAGACCAAGGAAACGGAGGGGAGGGGGGGGGGGGGGGGGTACTGCAATCGGCCGTGGCCGACGGACCCGTTGTTAGGTATCAAACGAACTTGCAGTCGAAGCGCTCATGCATGCAGATATCCTCATCATCGGACATGTTTGTTTACAAACATTCGAATGGCGCTTTCAGGCCCTCATATCCTCACAGGATTTGTTAGGATTACAAGCATGACATCGGGCAATTCCCTGGGCAAGTGTAAGTTATAAACCGGGGAGGGAGAAGCATGTTCTCAGGCTCGTTCCAAGAAGAAACAAAGCTCCACTCACGGGCATCGTTGGGCCAAACCCTATTGCAGACAGCTGTGAGTCAGTTGAAATCCCAAGAACAGGGATAGGAACATGCTTCGGCCATGCGTGGGTCATCTCCGTCAGTTCCAAAGGCGGCGTGTCTGAGCAAAAGCACAAAAACGCGGTGCTACGGTCTATTCCACTGGAAACCTACGCTTTCCCTATTTTTTGTTCCGTCCAGGAAAACTGCATTTCTGTTGTCTCCACGCAGTTTTCAGATAGTCTATAGATGAAAGTCGATGCAAGCCAAAGTATGCCATCAGAGATAGCACGAGGTCGCCTCAGATAATTTCACGATCTTGCAATTCCCATGATCTTGGCCTCCGATGATCCGATGAGTATGATCTTTAAGTACGATTGTAGCACTGCTGCATTGAGATATATCTAGCAATATTGAATTGGTTACCACTTTTATTATGACTGGTTTCCATAACCTTGCCTGACATTACCTTAGTATTGAACGAGGTTTACGTCACCGTTGACACGCATCATTCATTTAAGTTTATGTTGCAAAAACGTCATGAGCTAATTTCAACAACTTCAATATTTCACCTAATGTGACGTTGATGACGTTAACGTGACGTGACGATGACGTTAACATGACATAATGATGGCGTTGATGCGACGTTAACCTAATGTTCGCAAGGGTCAAGGGCAGTAATGGCTCTTATGAGACAAGCAATCCACAGCCTTGAAATACGAAAAGATGTAATGAAAGCAAAGCTCAGAAGCGCCACCGAGGCGTAAGCTTTCAAACCTGGCGCTGCGCAGACATTTGAGAATGTGAATGGTTGGTGTGGTAGGTAGAGTGGAAGGTTTGCACCTGCAGGTGAGGTGTACAAAATAAAGCTAAACTGCCCCGTTTCAAGGGTTTTTAATGGCGGTTTCCGGCTGTTCAGAGCCTAGTTTCGTCATACGAACCTACAAATACATGCACTTTTTAGTCTTGTCGTATGAGCACACGTGCTAGAAAAGCACATTTCAATGCAGACTCCGATTCTGATATAGCTCCCGGAAAGGATATGCTCTAAAACTTTTTCACATAAGATACGTGCGCGCACTTTCCAATTACGCGGGCCCGCAATGCTGTTTGATGAAACGAAGCTCGAACCGGCGCGTTGGAAGCGTTCACACTTCTACAGTGAACACCTTATGTGCGTAAGTACCGGCCAATGACGCATGCATGCTGACAGCTGCCGTCTCGTGAGGCCGTGACGTCACGCTGCAGGGTGTTGCGGGCTAGAACGCCGTCGGCGATCTTCCGATCACAATTTATCATGTTTGTAGGAACATTAACAGCTATAAACAGCTATCATTCTAATCGTTGGACTTGGAGGTTTTCTGTTACCATAAACACGCATCACTACATGACTAGACTTGCTAAGCATTTACCCTGCGTGAGTTGGCGCCGCGTTGCACTGGACCATACATCTTTCAAGCTATTTGAGCACCAACGGTGCTACCATTTGTCTTCATTAATGAACATTCCTTAATATGGACGTAGAGTTCATAAACGTTGGATATAATGAGCTTCGGTCATTGATTCGTGCCATGAGCTGAGTTGCGCGTCTCGTCTGGTTGGTCCCGTTGGGGAGTCCCGTCCCGGGAGGGACGAACGCTCGTGCGACGCCCCACAAAACCCCGGCTAACGTAAACCGTACACGTGTATTGTGCCAGCACCGGTGAACACCGCAGCAGTGCCGTCCGCCGGCGTCTGACCCGGCCCTCTGGAGCAGCTGACCTGGACCCCTGGAGCGGCGTCTAACCCGGACCCCTGGAGCGACGTCTAACCCGGACCCCTGGAGCGGCGTCTGACCCGGACCTCTGGAGCGGCGTCTGACCCGGACCCCTGGAGCGACGTCTGACCCGGACCTCTGGAGCGACGCCGCCGGCTGCACTGGCGTGGTGACGTCATTTTGATTTGTGCACAGCTGAGTGCAGCACCACTCCACCGAGAGTGCGTTCACAGTTCCATCAGCGGTCGACAATAGCGCAGTGCGCAGAGGAGATAGCGAAACTCGGCGATTAGCGTACGGGGAGGTCAGTGGGGTGCGCGCGCAATGGAGGGCTGTTAATGGCCGGAACGCGAACGCCCGCCGTGTTCAGTCAAGAGGAATTAAATTTACGAAGAAGAGTATTGCTGCCTTAAAGCTATTCAGACCATGAATGTCGCGGCTCCTCAAGGAACTTAAAGAAAAACAGTGACTGTGTGTAAGCCACAACAACGCAAGAAGATATGTCTTCCGCGCACGACACATGCATTCGGAATGTACCCATGCAAATATCCAGCAACCCATTACTTAAGTCAACAGTGTACAAGTGGCGTGCCGCAAAGGGATCAGCTGAAACCCCTAGCCATTCAGAGATCGCCCAAAGTTAGCAATGCACGAGCTGCAAGTGCTGCCACCTGCCGTCCGACACAACACGTCCGATCTGGCCGACGGCGGCCGGTGCCCCGTCGGACCACTTGCCGCCGGCGAGTGTGAGATCAAGGGCCCGTTGCAGACGCTGACGCGGTCGGCTCGACCGCCTCGGCCAGCTTCGACACGCACAGCGGGCAGGGGCGGGGCCGGGAGCGAGGTGCCCAAGTCGTCCAACAAGTCAAGGACCATCGGTGCACGTAGGGTTTGTAACGCTACCAGAAGCACAACGGTAGAGAGCGGAGGCCTAGCCGCGCGCTGCTTCGAAACAGACAACGTGTCTCGGTCGACAACCGACACCTAAACGATTCGAATAAATAACACTTCAAGGCAGGGAACGGCCAAAAGCCCTGATAAACATCGAGCACCAGCCCTAGCCCTAGCACCACACCTGGCGGACCACGGGACCAGGACGTCGGCACCACATCACCACTGCCTGCCCCTCAGTCGTCCGTGGCCGGACTGCACGCGCTCGGCCGATCGTGGCGGCCGTCACGGAAGTCACGCTCGTCACGCACTCAACGCCAGCGTCACCGCCGCCGCCGCAGGGCGCAAGCCGGCGCTACCGGCGCGTCACACAATGACGCAGCCGGCGCAGCGTCATGCGCACCTCCTTGCGCATGCGCGTTGACGTGGCCAGCAGGATGACGGGGTGGATGAAGAACTCGGAGTAGACGATCATGTCGCAGACGAGGATGCCGATGGGCGGCAGGATCCAGCCGTGGAGGCCGATCACCAGCAGCGTCGGAATGTACAGCACCAGGTGGCTGAGCGTGATGAGAAAGGACGCCATGGCCGTGCGCTCTAAGCCGCGGTAGTCGAGGATGTGCACGCTCGTGGCGTTGGCCGCCGCCACCTGCTTCCGCCGCAGGAAGATGGCCACCAGCACGTAGCCGACGATGATGGTGAAGAGCGCCAAGCAGTAGATGACCAGGATGAAGATGAAGAAGACGGAGGGCAGTTTGGGGATGCACAGAATAATGGCCGGCTCGAAAAACGCGTTGAAGCCGGTGGTGACGAAGACAGCCACGCTGAAGGAGAAGACCCAGGACAGCATCACAATGAAGCTTATTAAGTGGATGGGGAAGAGAGGATACTTACCGATCGGTAAACACGAAGCCAGCACTCTGTCAATCTTCAGCATGATGAACATGATGATATGCTGGAGCCAGAGGAGCACGTTGATGATGCTGTTGATGCTGCAGACGATCTCACCGAACGTCCACTCACCCTGCATGGTGGTAATCAAGGGCACCGGCAGCACGCAGAGTGCTCCTATCAAGTCCACGATGCACAGATTCTTAATGAGCAGAAAATGGACGGTTTTCAGCTTTAGGTCATTATGGTAGATGTTCTGAATGACGCAAATGTTTAGGACGACCGAGGCGGTGATGATCAGACAGATGCACAGCGACTGGGCCGGCTTGTTCATGATCGACAGCTCCGGCTCGCCGAGCTCGTCGTGCTTTTTTGCCTCCTCCAGCATTTTCTCAACCTGGTTTGGAAGATGCAGAGAACGGATTGTTAGCATGGCGTACCAAGCCGCGGCGTGCCATTAGCTCACACTGGCTGACGGGAAAACTAGGCGTATGACCACATCGTGACACATGGCTATTGAGCGTCAGGCATCAAGCCAAAAATTTAACGCAAATGCATCATCCGGATTATCATTACACACTGCGATATCGAAACCGCTCACGGGCAAGTGACGAACGTTGGGATAGGTGAGTGGGCTCAGCGGTCCAGCATGTGGGCTAGTTAATAGCATACGTCTGCCCAATATCAGCACCGGTGAGTGTGAGTCAATGCATCAAACGAGAGGGTGTTTGTTTGAGAATGCATGACTTCACTTTTCAGCTGGCAATATATGTTGCAGGACTTCTGCTCTTAGCTATCAGACCAATCAAAGAGCGAATCTTTTCAGGCGATCAAATAAATGAGCGATGTCATTCGCATTCGCCCATGGACTGAGCCTCTCTGAAAAGCGAGGACTTCAGGCACTCACCATCAAAGCCGACATCGTAAGTTCAAGTGGTGCAGCTCTGGAGTAACATGTTAGCCAAACAATCCCTCCTATGCCTCCCGTTGATTTATGCCAACCCCAAACTTGGAGAGAAAGTTTAGTAAGACAGACTTAAACCAATGGGATTTTCGAAAGTCTGCTCCGCAGCAGACCTCTGCATTGAGAAAGTGTCCTCAAACGCAGTCCTGCGTGATAGGAACTAGTCCCACCACGTAAATCTACGCTCGGACATGATCCCCTCTCACAGAGCTACGTTTCCCAGAGCTCTCGCCGACCCACCAGCCACCCGCTGGCCGCCGCCGGCCGCAGGCCGCCGCCCGGAGCCGGCCAGCAGCCAGCGTGTCTCGCACATCCGCACCGCTCACCCATTCATCCAGCACGGTGGAATAGTTGGAGAAGATGCTGAGCAGGCTGCGCCAGCTCTCGAAGTCCGGCTGCGGGCGGCCGCGCGGCGCCGCCGTCACCGTCATGGGGTCGGCGTCCGCGACCATCGGCCGGCCTGAGATGGTCATCGACCGCTGCCGCCGCCGCCGCTGATTGTCGGAACGGAGCGCCGCTGCCCCGTCACGCGCTGTGGACGGGACTGACGCACGATCAGCCCTCCGGGAGTTCATTGCTGGGTCTTGACTTGCTGAGCAGTTAGGCTGCATATGAGCAGTGCCCAGGAACAAAGGTTGAACTGATCCAAGTAGATGTAGGCGTGTGCATTGGAAATAAATGAATTTTCAATGCAAGCCATTTTGGATGGGGGAAATCCCCAAATATGACGGATCCGATACCTTGGTATATTTGTCTTACACAAGAATATCGGCCACACTTAACTCTAAGGTCACTTTATTGTTGCATTTAAATAAATAGAAATGCACTGATATATGATGTGAGCCAAAACGTCCTGTACGGAAGAATTTCACCACCGCGTGCACTAAGAGCCCCAGCACAATGCCGGGCTGAGAACTGTCTGCAAACCCTTTAACCCCATAGATTCCAACTTCAGAACTTCTTACATTTACTTTTATCAAAAAGACAAAATAATCGACACGAAAAATTCAATGCAACGGTGTCGTAATGCATCATCTCAAAAGCACGTTTGTCACAACAAAGCCAGATTCTGTCCCCACTGTTACCAAAACTGTCCCGAAATTGGAAAAAGCTATGAGTGAATTCGATATTTGGCAAGTGGGAAGAAATTTGGCTGAGTGAAGGTGCATGGAGTATTAACCATTTCCCTCGCCATTACATTCCGTTAACTGGTGTGAATCTGTACTTTTTATGCTTTGCCTGTGCTCCCTTTTTCCGCAATGGACGTGCCTGTTTTTATTTATTTTGACGTAGATGCGTAGGGCCATATGTCAGTGCAGATGCACGTAATCCGTTCATACAATACCATACAATAAAGGCCGGTCAGTGAGTTAAATTTTGGCTGTAGGTCTTAACGACAACCAACTCCATTCAAATTCCAGGATGCCCACAACGTACTCCCAGAAGCCAAACAACTTTCTTTTGCTTCAAAGATTTTGGCCCTTGCATATGAATTTCAATCGCCTTTTGTTTTGCACCGCCACCACTCCAAAGGTCGGGGATCCAAAAGCAGCAGCCTGGCAGCAGCCGCCGTTGACCTTCCAAGAAAGCCTTCCGGTAAAATTCCCCACGGCGAACTGCCTGCTTAGTATGTGAAGCCATGTCTCCAAGAAAACGTGTGCGTTGTTTGGTGATGCCCTGATAAACATGACTGGTAACAACCACATTGCTTTAACAAAGCCTGCTTTCCTTACATCAATATTCCAGCCATTTTGTTCTATATTCTAGCCACGCATCCTCTGTCTGCACAGCTGCTCCTGAATAAGCAACTGTCATCACCTACAGATTCGTAGGACGGTCGACGCACCGGAAGCAACGCTCGGAAAAGTACGCCATCTTCCATCGGCGTCGCACCACTGAACGGACGACGCTCACTAAATCACAGGACCTCTGCTCCTTTGTCACTTTGTCACTGTCACTGCTCCTTTGTCACTCGATTCTCCCGCGCCATGTAAGTCACGGCCGCGCCGTTCAGTGATTGGACGTTCATCAACGCCAGATGTGACACCGCGGTCGGGACGACGCGGTCGCTCAGCTGGCGCGGAGTAGCCGCGGTGGGCGCAGCGCCACACAAAACCGCAGAAATATTGAACTGGTGCAAATTTGCGCGACTGCTTATTGTTGATCACTATTAGGGAGCCCTGGGGTGTCGTTTAGTTAATAGATATCGAAGGGGTTCCACGGAAATTTTTCGTAGATCTAAACTCCTTACTGTAAGCTTTTCTATACAAAGCCATCGCACCGGCATGCAGTGCATAAAACCGATTCAAAATGTACAGCTGCAAAAGTTTCTCGTATGGCTATCATGAACAGATAACCCAAGTAATTCTATGGTGTGCTGATCGCCTGATTCCTGTGGCACACGATATGCGCCACAGCGCAGATAAAGCCATGGGTCACGAGGCATGCCATGACTTTCTGGACGTTTGGCCACAAAAGATGCCTAGTAATTTTAAAGCTGTGTTTAAGGTCACGGCGTTGGTTGAAATTGGAGGCAATTTCTTTCACCGGTAGCATGTTGTCAGACATTGATGCATTGTTGAGCGAACACTGGGTCCTGTCTATTGCGAGCCGCATGATAGCGTAATAGATATTCGAGAAGACGTTAGGGTGTTCGGTACAGGCTTTTATCTGATATACAATGCCACTCGGCACTCGGCATGAAGGAAGTTGGCGTTGGGGTTTTTTATCGGAATGGCTTTGGTGAACATGACATCTGAAAGATGTGTCTTTGGTTCTGTTTTCTCTCAATCATAAAGATGTTCGCTGAGGAGTAGTTTGAGGTGGCGTTTGATCCACCTATGTTGTTATCCTCCCGGCAAAACCTGCAAGTGATTTCGTGAGGGATATTTTGTGTGCATGTGTGCATGCTGTTTGCATGTTGTATGAGCATTTTGTGTCCCTGGGCGTCAACAGTACATGTACAAAGGTGTCCGAAGTGCATTGCATACATTTTTGACCGATGGACAGGGCGGCGGGTTCAAACAGATTGG